GGATTCCCCATGTTGTAAGATGCATTGAGCCTGCGCGCGTTGCACTGCCACAGAGAGACGTGTAGCGAGTCCTGCCTCAAATATCCATGCCGATCCGTCATCCCCCACTTCCCAATCCCTCCTCTGCTATGCTATCCACTTCGCGCAGAGCCCCAGGAACTGACGCAACGGCTCGCTCAGTAGGCCAAAGGTCTCAGTCACGCACGCGTAAAAATGTGGTGCCAGCTGCAACCCCTCTAAGTGCGGCCCCCAGTGACGCAGCTTATCCTGCACCCGCCTAGCTGCTGCCACTCCAATCTGTGTGGGGGTCGACCGCTTAGTTGCACGTTCCCCTCCGACTGTGGATCCGCTGTAGAGACATCCACAAGAACCATCATCATAGTCTGCCCAACGTCGCGGCAGGTGAGGTATGGGATGCGGGAGGAGGTGTCTGCACGGCCTGTGCGTCTGGCTGGTCCCTGCAGCTGCACTGGTTGTTGCCCTGTCTGGTCCCTCGGTGCCTCCTCTCTTGTCATCTCTCTCCCCCTGTCCTCCCCTCCACCCACATGTCCTCTCCCCTCCCCCTCTCTACCCTCTCCCAACCCTCCCAACCCCCCTGTTCCATCCCCTGCTGCCTCTCTCACTCCCTGATCCTCACCTCCCAATCCCGCTGCCCCCCCTGTACCCCCGTCCGCTCTCTGCTGCTCTCGCCCCTGCCCCACCCCCGAGCCCACACCATGGGGCGCGAAGCCCTGAGCTTGCAACCTCTGCTGGCTCTCCTGCTGCTTCCTCTGCTATCCCCCCTCTCCTCCCTAGCTGGTCTGCACTCGCTGCCGTCCCCTTTGCCGACCTGCCTTTCACGCCAACTGACTGCGCAGCTGATGCTTTCCCCACTGTGCCCTGTCATCCGGCTATCCTGCCTCAACCCTCTGCTCCAGCGATCCCCCAGCCTGTCTCCCCTCTCCCACCACCGGCTGTCCCTGCAGTCTCGCTCGAGCTGCCTCCACGTGTGTGAACAGCGTAGAGCCCTCCACCTTCACCGCGAAGCCTGCCTCGATAGCGAAGTCTCGAAGGGCGAACTTCACCGTGTCGTGGATGACAGTGGCGACGCCGAATCGTGGGTACTGAACCGCGTGGTGAGGCACCGTCATGTCGTCGTTCACCGGTCCACAGGAGCACTGACCTGCGAGGGCTAAGTGGGGGACAGGGAGACCAAGAGGACATGATGAAGCCACCTGCCACTATGCAGGGAGTCTGCGTATGGCACCGCCAGCAGCCACGCTCCTGCACCTACGCCCTGAAGAGAAGTCAAGCGGGCAAGGTGCTAGGGAGATGTGTGACGGGCACGCACTGCCTCCAAGGCATGCGCCTCAAGAAGGCGGCTCGCTCCTGCAAAAAGGGAATCGGGGGAGGCAGAGGCATAAGGGGGCCAGGGTAGAAGGAGAGAGAGGATGTCAGGCGGGAGGCCCTCCAGCGTCGTCCGCAACGATGGGCCGATCTGTTCCGTCTCACCGGAAGCAAAGCTCCACCGAAAAACCTCACCGCACACAGGAAGAGAACAGAGGATGGGTGGATACTGCACCCAAGAGCACACGAAACTCACCGGGGGAATGCGCTCCATGCGACGAATGCCGAAACCCCCAAGGCGGATGGGGAGGAAGATTTGGTCTCGGGCGGCATCTCTAACGTCCACGCGGCATGCCCAGGTCCCTGACGCTAAAAGCTGATGAAAAGGCTCTCCCAGGCGTGCGTCCCAGCGCGCGAAGCTTGAGAGCACTACGGGGAGGGAGGGACAGTCTTCGACAGGTACTGCGAATGAGTGCTGACAGATGCCAAAAGAAGGCGAGCAGGTGTCTGGGGCTGGCGCAACCTCGAAAGCCAAGGTAACACCCGCCCCATCTTTTCGAGATGACCCAGGAGGTTGCGCTCCACAAACGAAACGGTACCCACAGGCACGCATGCCACAGTAAGTCATCGACGTGCGACCTCGACCTCAAGGCTCGTGAAAGCCTCACGTCCCTGGACAAAAAAGACTCAGTCTGGTAGACGAGGCACTTGTGCGATTGGACCGCGAGGCCCATCTTGCCCAGGCGCCTCACGATCCCTGTCTGTCGGGCCTAGCACGTACGTGTCGTCGGCATACGACCAGAGCTGGACATCGCCCTCCGTCAGAACCGGCTCCAGGGCAAGTCGCTGTGTCAGAGCGTACACGAAGGGGATGAGGGGGTCTCTCAAGCAACTGCCGCGCTCCGAGTGCATCGTGACCACTCCCTCATCTGTCATGTAGTGGAGATCGAGGGCGTCCCGTAGAAAAGGTCGATGAATGGGGTGAGGCACTAGAACTATTGGCTGACCTACAAAGCCTGGAACATCATGTCTCGGTGAAATGAGTTAAAGGCGTTCGCCACGTCAAGTTGCAGGACCACCCAGTCCGGGTGGTCAGCCAGAGCACGGCGGACACCTCTAACTACGACCTCTGTGCCACGCGTCCCCCCCACCCCAAACTGCTGGGACACCAAGAAAACCCTCGCCATCTGGTCGCGTAGCTGGAGGCAAACTGCTCGCGATAGAATGCGGACCAACACCTCGCCAACGGCAATCGGCCAAACATCCATGTTCGACTTTGCCAGAGCCACGAGGGTGGAAGACGCTAGAAAAGAGCGCGTAGCTAAAGCGCAACGACCTCGAAGCCAGTGCTAGTACACAACTAGAACAGCAGGGAGACTCTGAGGGAAAGCCAGAAAATCCAGGTTCATCGGGATGTGGGGTGAGGGGCGCTTGGAGGGGGAGGGAGGGAGGAGGGGGTAGGTGAGCTGACCCTTTGCCTCCCCTGCCTTTGTTCGTCCGCCGGCGGCCAACCTGGTTTTCGTTGTCCCTGCCTGGTTGCGAAGGAAAGGGGGGCTGAGAGGCCAAGGGGGTGGGTGGGGGGAGGATTGGTGGTTGACCAGGTGGGGGGAGCTCAGTGTGCATCCCCCCCCTCCCCATGACATCACTCTCTATGGGGGCAGACTGGGCAGACAGTGCGTGGGGGGTGATGGCTGCCCAACGGGGTCACTCGTAAGGAACAGGGCCGGGAGAGGAGGTTACTAGTGGGGGCCGAGGCGCTGGAGCGGTGTGGAGGTTAGAGCGCGGAGCAAGCGGTGGGGGGAGGGAGGCTTGTGGTGGCTCCGTGGTGGCAGGGGGTGGGGGGATGAGTGGGAGAGGAGGTTTTGAGGTTGCGCCCCCACGCTAAAAGTTGGGGCAGGGCCCCTCCCACTGGTGGCCCCACCCATGGGCCCCTCCAGTGTCTCGTCGCTCCCATGAGACTCCACAGGTCCTTGCGGGTGGGCCTCGGCTGCCTGGGGGGGTGGTGTGAGGAGGGCAGCCCGTTGGGTGAAAATGTTGGGGCTGTGCGGCGACTTGAGTGCTTTGGGTGTGTGTAGTGTGAGGGAGAGGTATGTGGCCGGAGGGAGGTTTCAACCCCTGAGATGTGTGTAGCTCCGGGCAAGGGAGGACCTAGTGGGGGAGGAGGTAGGAGGTTGGCAGGAGATGATTGGGTGGATTGTTACTTTAACATTCAGGGGTCGGGGAGCATGGCTCAGCCAGGAAGGCAAGGGTCCTGGCTGCTCCCCGTGGTGCTCGGAGGAACCCCTGGGGGTGGGGGCATGAGCGTGCTGCCCTTGGGGGAGAGGGAAGGAGTGATGGAAGGGACGGGGATGGGTTAGAGGCGGGGAATAGGAGTGCCTTCGGGCGGCTCTGCCCTTGTTGCACCCGCGCGCTCCTCTAGTGGACCGCCTGCAGGTGTGGGGTCAAGCGTTGGAGAAGGAGAGGGGGGCTGGCCTTGCGACTGCATAGGGGTCGGGGAGCACGGCTCTGCCAAGAAGGCCAGGGCCTTGGCTGCCCACCTGGATGCTAGAGGGAGCCCCAGAGGGTGGGGATAGGGGCGTGGTGCTCCTGGGGGGGGTGGGCTGGAGGATGGTGGCTAGGGATGGGGGCGCCCTCGCAGGGCTCCGTCCTCAAAGTCTCCCCCAACCCCTCCATTGGTCCATCTGCTAGCATGGGGTCGGGCATGGGGGGGAAAGGGAGAACCTCGTTATGAGACTTTAGTGGGCAAGGGTCGGCCTCACTGTCCGTAGTGAGGTATTGGGCTAGTGGCCAGTCTATGTGCATCCTGTCCTTTACCGCATCATCATCCATCATTATCACTTCCCCTCCTTCACGAACCTCCCTGGTTGGGACCCCACTCGCCCCTTTTACCCCTGTTGCCCCAATGTCCCCTGAGCCCGCCCTCCCTACTGGCTCTTTACTGCCAGATACGGCCTCTGCAGGCCCTGCTGTGGCCTCTACCGCGATTGCTGCAGCCCCTACCGCCCCCAGTGGCGTGCTATGGCCGTAGTTGCTTCGGCTGTAGCCACAGTACACTAGCTTGTTGGTCCAATGGACCTGTTGGACCAACTGGCCTGTAGGTCCAATGGACCGGTTCGACCCTCTGGCCTGTTTGGTCCAATGGGCCGGTTGACCCACTGGCCCGTTGGTCCTACGGGCCGGTTGGACCCACTAGCTTGTTTGGTCCAACGGGCCGACCGACTGACCTATTGGGCCAACGGGCCGGTTGGACCGACTGGCCTGTTAGGCCAACGGGCCGGTTGGACCGACTGGTCTGTTGGGCCAACGGGCCGGTTGGACTGGGCCAATGGACCGGTTCGACCGACTGGCCTGTTGGTCCATTGGTCCGGCTGGACCGACTGGCCTATTGGTCCAATGGACCGGCTGGACCAGCTGGCCTGTTGGACCAATGGACCGGCTGGACCGATTGTCCTGTTGGGCCAATGGACCAGCTGGACCGACTGGCCTGTTGGGCCACAGGACCGGCTGGATCGACTGGCCTGTTGGGCCAATGGACCGGTTGGACCGACTGGCCTGTTGGGCCAATGGACCGGTTGGACCGGTTGGACCGACAGGCCTATTGGGCCAATGGACCGGTTGGACCGACTTGCCTGTTGGGCCAGTAGACCGGTTGGATCGACTTGCCTGTTGGGCCAATGGACCGGTTGGACCGGACTGGCCTGTTGGGCCAATGGACCGGTTGGACCGACTGGCCTGTTGACCGGTTGGACCGACTGGCCTGTTGGTCCAATGGACCGGTTGGACCGACTGGCCTGTTGGTCCATGGGACGGTTGGACCGACTGGCCTGTTGGTCCAATGGACCGGCTGGACCGACTGGCCTGTTGGTCCAATGGACCGGTTGGACCGACTGGCCTTTTGGGCCAATGGACCGGTTGGACCCACTAGCCTTTTGGGCCAATGCACCGGTTGGACCGACTGGCCTGTTGGGCCAATGGACCGGTTGGACCGACTGGCCTGTTGGGCCAATGGAACGGTTGGACCGACTGGCCTGTTGGGCCAATGGACCGGTTGGACCGACTGGCCTGTTGGTCCAATGGACCGGTTGGACCGACTGGCCTGTTGGGCCAATGGACCAGTTGGACCGACTGGCCTGTTGGGCCAATGGACCGGTTGGACCCATTGTCCTGTTGGTCCAATGGACCGGTTGGACCGAGTGGCCTGTTGGTCCAATGGTCCGGTTGGACCCACTGTGCTGAGGTCCAATGGACCGGTTGGACCGACAGGCCTGTTCGTCCAATGGACCAGTTGGATCGACTGGCCTATTGGTCCAATGGTCCAGTTGGACCCACTGTTCTGAGGTCCAATGGACCGGTTGGACCGACACGCCTGTTCGTCCAATGGACCAGTTGGACCGACTGGCCTGTTGGCCCAATGGACCGGTTGGACCGGTTGGACCGACAGGCCTATTGGGCAAATGGACCGGTTGGACCGACTTGCCTGTTGGGCCAATAGACCGGTTGGATCAACTTGCCTGTTGGGCCAATGGACAGGTTGGACCGGACTGGCCTGTTGGGCCAAAGGACCTGTTGTACCGACTGGCCTGTTGGTCCAATGGACCGGTTGGACCGACTGGCCTGTTGGTCCAATGGACCGCTTGGACCGACTGGCCTGTTGGTCCATGGGACGGTTGGACCGACTGGCCTGTTGGTCCAATGGACCGGCTGGACCGACTGGCCTGTTGGTCCAATGGACCGGCTGGACCGACTGGCCTGTTGGGCCAATGGACCGGTTGGACCGATTGGCCTTTTGGGCCAATGGACCGGTTGGACCCACTAGCCTTTTGGGCCAATGCACCGGTTGGACCGACTGGCCTGTTGGGCCAATGGACCGGTTGGACCGACTGGCCTGTTGGGCCAATGGAACGGTTGGACCGACTGGCCTGTTGGGCCAATGGACCGGTTGGACCGACTGGCCTGTTGGTCCAATGGACCGGTTGGACCGACTAGCCTGTTGGGCCAATGGACCGGTTGGACCGACTTGCCTGTTGGGCCAATGGACCGGTTGGACCCATTGTCCTGTTGGTCCAATGGACCGGCTGGACCGAGTGGCCTGTTGGTCCAATGGTCCGGTTGGACCCACTGTGCTGAGGTCCAATGGACCGGTTGGACCGACAGGCCTGTTCGTCCAATGGACCAGTTGGATCGACTGGCCTTTTGGTCCAGTGGACCGGTTGGACCGACTGGCCTGTTTGTCCAATGGACCGGTTGGACTGACTGGCCTGATGGGCCAATGGACCGGTTGGATAGACTAGCCTATTGGTCGAATGGACCGGTTGGACCGACTGGCCCGTTGGGCCAATGGACCGGTTGGACCGACTGGCCTGTTGGGCCAATGGACCGGTTGGACCCACTGTCCTGTTGGTCAATAGACCGGTTGGATCGACTGGCCTGTTGATCCAATGCTCTAGTTGGACCCACTCTTCCGAGGTCCAACAGACCGGTTGGACCGACAGACCTGTTGGTCGAATGGACCGGTTGGATCGACTGGCCTTTTGGTCCAATGGACCGGATGGACCGACTGGCCTGTCGGTCCAATAGACCGGTTGGTCCGACAGGCCTCTTTGTCCAATGGACCGGTTGGACCCAATGGACTAGCTGGTCCGACTAGTCTGTTGGTTCAATGGACTGGTTGGACTGACTGGCCTGTTTGGCCAATGGACCGGTTGGACCAACTGGCCTGTTGGTCCAATGGACCAGTTCGACCCAGTAGCCTGTTGGTCCAATGGACCGGTTGGACCGACTGGCCTGGTCAAATGGACGGGTTGGACACACTGGCCTGTTGGTCCAATGGACTGGCTTGTCCGACTGGCCTGTTGGTCCAATGGACCGGTTGGACCAACTTGCTGATAGTCCAATGGACTGGTTAGACCGACAGGCCTGTTGGTCCAATGGACCGGATGGACCGACAGGCCTTTTGGTCCAATGGACCAGTTGGACCGACTGGCCTGTTGGTCCAATGGGCCGGTTGGACCGACTGGCTTTTTGGGCCAATGGACCGGTTGGACCGACTGGCCTTTTGGGCCAATGGACCGGTTGGACCGACTGGCCTTTTGGGCCAATAGACCGGTTGGACGGATTGGCCTGTTGGGCCAATGGACTGGTTGGACCAACTTGCCGGTTGGACCGACTGGCCTGTTGGTCCAATGGACCGGTTGGACACACTGGCCTGTTGGTCCAATGGACCGGTTGGATCGACTAGCCTGTTGGTCCAATGGACCGGTTGGACCGACTGGCCCGTTGGGCCAATGGACCGGTTGGACCGACTGGCCTGTTGGGCCAATGGACCGGTTGGACCCACTGTCCTGTGGTTAATAGACCGGTTGGATCGACTGGCCTGTTGGTCCAATGCTCTAGTTGGACCCACTCTTCCGAGGTCCAACAGACCGGTTGGACCGACAGACCTGTTGGTCCAATGGACCGGTTGGATCGACTGGCCTTTTGGTCCAATGGACCGGTTGGACCGACTGGCCTGTTGGTCTAATGGACCGGATGGACCGACTGGCCTGTTGGTCCAATGGACCGGATGGACCGACAGGCCTTTTGGTCCAATGGACCGGTTGGACCGACTGGCCTGTTGGTCCAATGGACCGGTTGGACCGACTGGCCTGTTGGTCCAATGGACCGGTTGGACCGAGTGGCCTGTTGGTCCAATGGACCGGTTGGACCGACTGGCCTGTTGGTCCAATGGACCGGATGTACCGACTGGCCTGTTAGTCCAATAGACCGGTTGGACCGACTGGCCTGTTGGTCCAATGGACCGGTTGGACCCAATGGACTAGCTGGACCGAACTGCCTGTTGGTTCAATGGACTGGTTGGACCGACTGGCCTGTTTGGCCAATGGACCGGTTGAACCAACTGGCCTGTTGGGCCAATGGACTGGTTGGACCTACTGGCCTGTTGGTCCAATGGACCAGTTGGACCCAGTAGCCTGTTAGTCCAATGGACCAGTTGGACCCACTGGCCTGTTGGGCCATGGACTGGTTGGACCGACTGGCCTGTTGGTCCAATGGACCGGTTGGACCGACTGGCCTGGTCCATTGGACCGGTTGGACACACTGGCCTGTTGGTCCAATGGACGGGCTTATCCGCCTGCCCTGTTGGTCCAATGGACCGGTTGGACCAACTTGCTGTTAGTCCAATGGACCGGTTAGACCGACAGGCCTGTTGGTCCAATGGACCGGTTGGACCAACAAGCCTATTGGTCCAATGGACCGGTTGGACCGACTGGCCTGTTGGTCCAATGGACCGGTTGGACCGACTGGCCTGTTGGGTCAATGGACCGGTTGGACCGACTGGCCTGTTGGTCCAATGGACCGGTTGGACTGACTGGCCTTTTGGTCCAATGGACAGGTTGGACCGACTTGCGTGTTGGTCCAATGGACCGGATGGACCGACTGGCCTGTTGGTCCAATAGACCGGTTAGACCGACAGGCCTGTTGGTCCAATGGACCGGTTGGACCCAATGGACTAGCTGGACCGACTGGCCTGCTGGTTCAATGGACTGGTTGGACCGACTGGCCTGTCTGGCCAATGGACCGGTTGGACCAACTGGCCTGTTGGGCCAATGGACAGGTTGGACCGACTGGCCTGTTGGTCCAATGGACCAGTTGGACCAAGTAGCCTGTTGGTCCAATGGACCGGTTGGACCCCCTGGCCTGTTGGGCCAATGGACTGGTTGGAGCGACTGGCCTGTTGGTCCAATGGATCGGTTGGACCGACTGGCCTGGTCCAATGGACCGGTTGGACACACTGGCTTGTTGGTCCAATGGACTGGCTTGTCCGACTGGCGTGTTGGTCCAATGGACCGGTTGGACCAACTTGCTGTTAGTCCAATGGACCGGTTGGACCGACAGACCTGTTGGTCCATTTGACCAACAGGCCAGTCGGTCCATCCGGTCCATTGGACCAACAGGCCAGTCGGTCCATCCGGTCCATTGGCCAGTTGGTCCAACCGGTCCATTGGACCAACTGGCCAGTTGGGCCAACCGGTCCATTGGACCAACAAGCCAGTTGGGCCAAACGGTCCACTGGACCAACAGGCCAGTTTGTCCAACCGGTTCATTGGACCAACAGGCCAGTGGGTCCAACTGGTCCATTAGACCAAAAGGCCAGTCGGTCCAACTTGTCCATTGGCCTGTTGGTCCAACCAGTCCATTGGCCCAACAGGCCAGTCAGTCCAACCGGTCCATTGGCCGAACAGGCCAGTTGGTCCAACCGGTCCTTTAGACCAACAGGCCAGTCGGTCCAACCGGTCTATTGGCCCAATAGGACAGTCGGTCCAACCGGTCCATTATCCCAACAGGCCAGTCGGTCCAACCGGTCCATTGGACCACAGGCAAGTCGGTCCAACCGGTTCAATGGTCCAACAGGACCGTCGGTCCATTCGGTCCATTATCCCAACAGGCCAATCGGTCCAACCGGACGATTGGACCAACAGGCCAACCGGTCCATCCGGTCCATTGGACCAACAGGCCAGTCGGTCCAAACAAGTCCATTGGCCAGTTGGTCCAACCAGTCCATTGGACCAACTGGCTAGTTGGGCGAACCGGTCCATTGGACCAACAAGCCAGTTGGGCCAACCGGTCCATTGGACCAACAGGCCAGTTGGTCCAACCGGTCCATTGGACCAACAGGCCAGTCGGTCCAACCGGACCATTGGACCAACGGACCAGTCGGTCCAACCGGACCATTGGACCAACGGACCAGTGGGTCCAACCGGTCCATTGGACTAACAGCCAATTGGTCCAACCGGTCCATTTGACCAACATGCCAGTTGGACAAGCCGGTCCATTGGACCGACAGGCCAGTGGGTCCAGCCGGTCCATTGGACCAGGCCGTTCCCGGTCCATTGGACCAACAGGCCAGTAGGTCCAACCGGTCCATTGGTCCAGGCCGTTCGGTCCAACCGGTCCATTGGCCGCACAGGCCAGTCGGTCCAACCAGTCTATTGGCCCAGCAGGCCAGTCGGTCCAACCGGTCCATTGGACCAGGCCGGTCGGTCCAACCGGTCCATTGGCCGCACAGGCCAGTCGGTCCAACCAGTCCATTGGCCCAACAGGCCTGTCGGTCCAACCGGTCCGTTGCTCCAACACACCAGCCGGTCCAACCGGTCCATTGGTCCAACACGCTAGTCGTTCCAATCGGACCATTGGTCCAACACGCCAGTCGGTCCAACCGGTCCATTGGCCCAATAGGCCAATCGGTCCAACCGGTCCATTGGACCAACACGCCAGTCGATCGAACCGTTCCATTGGACCCACAGGCCAGTCGGTCCAACCGGTCCATTGGACCAACAAGTCAGTCGGTCCAACCGGTCCATTGGACCAACAGGCCAGTCGGTCCTACCGGTCCATTGGACCAACAGGCCAGTCGGTCCAACCGGTCCATTGGACCAACAAGCCAGTCGGTCCAACCGGTCCATTGGACCAACAGGCCAGTCGGTCCAACCGGTCCATTGGACCAACAGGCCAGTCGGTCCAACCGGTCCATCGGCCCAACAGGCCAGTCGGTCCAACCGGTCCATTGGGCAAACAGGCTTGTCGGTCCAACCGGTCCATTGGCCCAATAGGCCAGACGGTCCAACCGGTCCATTGGCCCAACCGGACAGTCGGTCCAACCGGTCCATTGGACCAACCCGCTAGTCGGTCCAACCGGTCCATTGGTCGCCAGTCGGTCCAACCGGTCCATTGGTCCAACACGCCAGTCGATCCAAACGGACCATTGGTCCAACAGGCCAGTCGGTCCAACTGGTCCATTGGCCCAACAGGCCATTCGGTCCAACCGGTCCATTGGACCAACAGGCCAGTCGGTCCAACCGATCCATTGGACCAACACGCCAGCCGGTCCAACCGGTCTATTGGACCAACAGGCCAGTCGGTTCCAACCGGTCCATTGGACCAACAGGCCAGTTGGGACAACCGGTCCATTGGACCAACAGGCCAGTCGG